GTATCCTTGTAACAAAATAAAAAATAACAAACTGTCATATGTACTTAATTTTAACTCGTGTCTCAAATTTGTTTATACAAGTTAAAATTTTATTTAAAACTATAATTACTTTTCAAATAATTGCCGTCAAGTCCAATAAAGTAGTTCTGCATTTACAGTGTGATTAGATACGTTTATTGTACCTGTTTTGGTTCTACCTTTGACTATTAATACAACAACGTTCTGCGAAGGTCCAGTAACAATCGGCATCCCCACAAATCTCAATCACCCGGTGTGAAGTTGGCGCTATCTGTGATGTTGCACGCCAACTGAGCATTAATAGGATACAACAGCAGTTCGTGCTGAACAAAGTTTGTAAGAAAAAGTTTTTATATTTATCTTTGGATACAGTTGAAGAATGTAGGTGGTTCTCTAAATGTGGATTAAAAAACTAGTTGGATTTCATCAACCCCTAACATTGACATGTAAAAAGAACGACTACCGGTATGTGCGGAACATACTCTTTTTTTCATGAAATCAATGATTATGCATAAATATAAAAACATTATTATCATCATTAATTTAACAGCTATTGAACAAGCCTAATATTTATTTCGTAAACTTACATCTGCAGTCCTAATAATTGTAAGAATACCTATATATGGTGTCCACGTAAGAGGTGTCTCAATTTGATTGTGGAAAAACGGCTTAACGTACAGGGATGAAATACAATTATTTCCCGCTAAATCAACCCTAAGGAATAACGTAACAATAATTTTAACTTTTTTTCGATACAGGGTGTGCCATACACTGAGGATCACTAGTTCGAATCTCGGAATTTTCGGATGTAAACATAATGTTATGTTATACGACATCTTTAAGGTATTTAAAAGACAAACATTTTGGCGAAAACAGAAATGAATGATCGTTTCCCGTTTCAAAATGGCGGCAGTTTATTTGGAAAAGATCAATACGTTTTTAATAATCTGTGTTTCCTATACCAAAACACTTATCCCTTATCCGGTTGAATTTTCTTACTCGTTATGAAATTAGCTTCACTGTGATATGATACAAGTAACGGGGGTTTTTTTATAATACAAATTAAAAAAAACATATTTTTTTAAATTGGCAAATGCAAAGTGTTCAATATTTTCAAATAGCAACATATGTCAAGTGGCATATGAAAATTTTTGAGGTTTTATATTAACTCATATTAACTTTGTTATTCAAACTTACTTCATATATCTTTTAATTTTTGTGTAAATAAGAAAAAACCTAATTTTCCTATATCAAATACATGTTATTTGGGTTTAACACTAAAGGTCCCATTTAAATTAGGGTTCAACCCAAAATAGCATGCATTTGATATAGGAAACTTAGGGTTTTTTGTTATTTACACAAACACTAAAAGATATATGAAGTAAGTTTGAATAACAAAGTTAATAAGAATAATAAAAAAAAATATAAACAAATGTGCCACTTGACATATGTTGCTACATGACAATTTTAAACAATGGGCATTTGCTAATTTTCCAAAATATTTTTTTAGAATTTTTATTATTTCAAAAACTCTTTACTTGTTGCATATCACAGTAAAGCTAATTTCATAAAGAGTAAGAAAATTAAACCGGAGAAGGGCTAAGTGCATTGATATAAAAAACACAGAATATTAAAAACATATTGATTTTTTCCAAATGAACTGCCACCATTTTTAATCGGGAAAAAATTCATATCTTTTTTCGCCAAAATGTTTTTTCTCTTAAATACTTTGAAGATAATTTATAAGATGACATATGTTTACATTTGAAAATTCCGAGATTCGAAATATTTTTACGTTATTCCTTGGGGTTTGTTTAGCGGGAAATTATTTTATTTTATCCTTGTACGTTCTTCCGTAATCAAGATGAGACATCTTCTATGAAACACCCTGTATACTGCATCTAAACGTCCAATGATACACAGTTCAACATTGAAACAGAAATCATTACTCATGTTGAATTATTCTATTAAAACTGCAAGTGATAAAACAAACAATTAGTATTAAATTCTTCGTTTACTAGTGACAAATTTATTACGTAATACACAAAAAACAACGTAAGTATTGTAAGAAACAGCTAAAAATGGTATCTATATACTAAAAATATCAACGATATTTATATAAAATGACCTTAAAATCCGATTTGTAATAAACTATTAAATAGTTCCACATGAACAACAGACGGTGAGAGAAGATATAAATATTGGTGATAATAACAAGATCTTAAGCTCTCTTCAGCCACAATTTCTTTATAATTATGGTATACTGTATAGGAAGAATATCATTAGAAACATCAAATACCACTGCTGCAAATGGTCTCTAAACTTGTATTGACTAAATCTATGAGCCTAGAATTTAGTATCTAATAAAGTATGGACTTCTTTCTTATGTTTCAGAGTAAAGATGAATTAAGAATGTATTAATTCATCCGTGATTGAGACTAGGTAGAAAAACGCTTTAATAAAAACAGTGAGCATTACTTTATAATACAGCATTAAGGTGCATTCATATACCTATCAAAAGTTTAAATTGGAAAGTTTGTTAGGTCAAAGAATATTGTCATAGGAAATCGTATTGATGATTATTAATATGACAATTAGTACTGAAACTGTTCCAGGAATACTTGGTTGATATTCTATAAATATTAATGAACATGCAGTATCAATATTTATTAAAGAGGGATAGTGTAGTATAACAAATTACCTGGTTTTCTGTAAACCAGCCGTCGTTAAGATAGTATCTACTGCAGTCACGCATAAGTTATCCTGCAATAATTAATCCTCTGGCGTTATACCATGTATAGAATCATAATTTCGTTTGTAATTCTGTCGGCTTTATATTCCTATGATTAAAGAAATATTTTTTTAATGAAATTCGTTGTTCAAAACGAGATTTAAAAGGAATTCGTTTATAGCAATATAATATGATATCCGTTTTAATATGTGTCACATATTTATTCATGGTATGAAGCGAATTTAGCAAAAACATTGCGATTCTACTAAAACTTATTTTGTATTATCAAGAGTCGTAAGCATTATTGCTGTTAAAAATATTATGGTTCGTAGTTTTTCCACAAACTGTATTAATCAAATAACAGACTCATAAATCATCGTATCAAATTTTATGATTTTACATCCGCAAAACCTGTTCTGTGTTCTGGCATATAAACTCAAAAATTACAATACAAGTTACGTCACATGATTTTTTGTAATTTTCTACGAAGTGTGATATTAAGGTTCAGTACAAACTGTCTTTATACAAGATTAGCAATACAACATTACTTGTCCTGATAAGACAACGATTGTAACTAAAACCACTTATTTAACGTAGTATGATGGTATACTTCGATTATTAAGGATCGTATTAGGCTGTGGCATTTTTGTGTTTTAGCTGCATGATTGTATTCAGGATTTCTTTATATTACTTTGCATTCGTCTTCACATGGGATTACTTATGTTAAATTAATTAATTTGGGGAAAATTAATGAGTGGTGCTTTGTTGGAGAGTTGGCATGATTGATGAGCTGGAAGATGGTCAATTTTATACTTTCTTTATTGAAAGTTTGTTTTTCGATTTTGTCGTGTTCACTTGTTCTAAAATTTGTTTAACAGTTTTGTTGGATTTTATTTTTATAAATTAATGTGGATTATTTTTTTGAAAATCATAGGGTTGGTGTAGTCTTCTTTTTTGTCAAGGTCGTTTGATCTATTTTATACTTACAAGCCATATACACAATGTATTACGTGTACATGCCATTATTCAACCTTTTTAGAACTTAATATATCCAATGGTTGAACAGCTCATCATATATTAATCGTAGTCTAATTCAAGTCACTAATAACGGTAAAGTTTTGATTATTATATTAATCAATTATTTGGCGGTTTACATATATTTAGCTGCTGCTTATATTAGTTCATTCATTTAATTGGGATAATGCAAGTAAACTCAAACGTATTGTCAATTGTTTGACTTTTTATCTTACATATATACGAAAAACATTTGAACGATTCGTCCTCTGAGAACATCAAAACGAAAAAAGTAAATCGGTTCCAGGGTAAAATGTCACCGTGCTTGTCTACGGCAATAGCGCTTTCATATTGGAAAATTCTACCATAAAAAATAGTAATAATAATACAAATTTTCGAGCGATGCAAGTTTCTTTTTGATAATTTATTAAGTTAGGGGCCTCCTTCACGTTATTTTCATCAATGTTTTTAACAATTTACAACGTCTATTCATCAGATATAACGTCTCAAAGTACATTCTATCTAATAGATGTATGAAAGTTTTAATTATATATAAACCACTGGACCTGACCTTGTCCCGTATGGTTGGCTTGGTTTTCGTCTATCCAGGTTGGGTGTAAATATTACAAATAGCGAAATATTAAATTATTGATTGTTAAACAAAAAACAATAACAATATTATTTTATACATAAAACTTAATTATCTCTTCTATTCGGGATATAAAACCCCAAACATTGGTGATTGGTATTGGGGTCTTGTATTTACAGGTTCATTTTTAAAGTGTTCATATATAGATTGACAAAGAAATGTATTAACAAATTATTTAATAGCAAAAAGGCGTTTCGGAACATGAATGTGAATATACGTTGACACTTTCACTCAAAAACCGATAGCTTATATAAAAAAAATAATTAGCATAATAAGCCATTTTTAGAAATATTTTAAAGGATTTCAGGTGAAACTTATTAAGTTTATGTGAAATAATAACCCTTAACATTTTAATTTAGACCAAATCCCAAAATAATTCTAAACAACTTGTTAGTTACAGAATAACTTTATTTGTATATGAATTTAAGATTATACTTTCGCTTAGGCCTATATTTTATTTAAAACACTTGATTTGACTTGACTGTCCAAACCTTACCTTATACCGTTTACAATTGTTTGTCAATAAATATTCAGGGAAGGATTGAGAAAAAAACTCTCACAATTACAAATAATTTTCTTCTTTTATTTATCAGCTAAACATTCTTTATACAAAATATCTAAACTAAAAGCATTTTCGGATAGAAACAGACTTAAAATTACATTTCATACCAACACATAGAAATAAATAATAAACAAATGTATTATAATAAAACGTAGGACACCAGTAAGGTGTACTATCATAAGCGTATGGATTCTATATAATTATGTCAATTTAAGCCTAGTTAAACATGAATATTGAATTATCTTTTAAGCGTTGGCTTGTTAAGTTTTTTTATTTTTCAAATTTTCACTATTAATAAGGTACATTCCTTGAAGTCAACGGTTCAATCCAGTAGTGGTTACTTATCACAAATGTTCGGTCTATTTAGGGATTGTCAAGAGATAGCCTACTGTAATATCACTTTCAAGACTGTTTCAACTAATAATATATATTTTTATTGAGATTCGAATAAATACATAAATTTGACATAACAAAAACAAAATAACGTAAAACTCGGAGTTGTAGGCTTACTATAAACCGTTAGCAGCACGGACAGGGAAAACTCTGCATTTCAATGGTTTTTTCGTGCGTGTTATGTCCCATGTGTGTAGCTATTTGATTGTCAACAACAGATCTGTTATTGGACGAAACATTGTTTTAAATGATATCACTTGACAATGCCTAAATATGCGAAACATGTTGTCATTCCAATCCCTACTATGTTAAACTGTTCACGTGAAGGTACGCGCCGTATAATAGTATAATCTAAACAGTTCAGGGTCTAAATAAATAATTTTAAGCTGGGCCATTTGTTTGTAACTAATACATTGTTTTACAATAAATGGTAAAATAGTATTTTACACAACAATCACGTAAGGAGTATCTTTACGACACGAGTAGAACATTGAAAGTACGAGACCTGACAAGTGCCTTTAAAACTTCTACGAGTGTCGTAAATGCTAATAATACGAATTACGTACGCTGCTTTACCTACGACTGTTTCTTAATTAGTAACAATCAATTCTCATAACTTCCAAAAGAGGTTATGTTTTCTTTTATAACCTCTCATTGTTGCTAATGATTTTGATGCAACGACTTGTTCCAACCATCGATCTCTATTATTACTACAGTTGTAATAATAATAGAGATCGATGGTTCCAACCGATCGCTTGTTGTTAAAAAAAATTGGTCTTAACAGCTGATAAGTTGGCGTTCGAAGAATAACAATGTTCCTACTTTTCTTTTCATTCTTTAACTTTAATCGTTCAAACCTGTACTGTAAAGTAAAAAAAAACAATACTGTATATTAAGTAAGGAAGACGGTTAAGTAACTCTTTTCAAGTCTATAAACTAAACTTAAAACGAACAGGCTAGTTAAAAACGGTCGTAGGTAAATATGCTTTTAGCAACGTAACAAAGATTGTTTGAGCTTCCTAATAATTTACTATAATATTTGTGTAAAACTATTTTGTTTTAATTGACAACAATTTTATGTAACAGTCATGGTCTTTTTGGGTAAGGTGCATAATAAACTGAAAACCTAGGCCTCTAGTGCTGTTAAATTCTGAAGTATATTTTATAAGAACGAAATAAAGTTATTGAGTTTCTAATCAAGAAACAACCAATTTAAACCAGCAACACAAGTAAACGTCCAGGTTACAACACGTTGTCTACCTACATATTTACAAAGAAACCTAAGTGATCTATAAAACTTAGAAATGCATAGGAATTTTTGGGGAATATATGTATACCAGATAATATAAATATATATATTTTTATTACGATAGTTTGAAACTTCGTTAAAATTAAATTCAGAGTAAAAAATTGATTGTAAATAGATTGTGTATAGCCACGTTATAGCATGGCTGTGTATTAGATGCATATTTACAACACTGGCTAAAGGATGTATTGGTTTTTGTATTGTTTTATGATTTCGTATATAATACATCGTATCTACTTCATTATTCTTACGTACATTTTGGTCAATGTTTTCATTATAATATTCAATTCCATTAGTATTTTATAATGAATGTGAAGTCAGTCAAGAAATATTTGGCACATAAAAGGGTAGTTTAAACGGTTTAGGTTTAAGCCGTTTGACAATTATATTCTTAATAATTTAGCTTGTATAACGTACCGAATAGACTATGTGTAACAGAATAGGGATTTTATTATTTTATTTAAGCCGAATTTCCTCATTACCATGATTCAGTGATCTGATGTAAATTCTACACAATCCAACAGTAAACATGAAGCACGTAATCTTATTTACTTGATTATAAAAAATGTGTTATCACTTCAATCCGTAATACTAGGATATATGCAAAACATATTGTGGTAATATTCAATATCTTACCTTTCAAATATGTATTGCGAGTTTATTATTGTTAATTTACTTTTGAAGGGTTTGGCATATATTGTTGCTGAATAAGGACATATTACTAGCGCTCAAATTTGTTTATAGCTATTGGTAACCTTACAATGACTCATCAGTCTTTTTCCTTAAAGTTGTAAAACCTAAACAAAAAAAAAACATAACATTTAAGATCTTATAAAAGTAAAGGGCTGAAATGATTGTAAAGACGATTCAGGTTATTTATAATTAACTCGTCCAATCGAAATTATAATGTGTATATATATATACATGCACACCTTTCTGGTTCTTGCCTCTCTTGGTTTCATATAATAATTTATAATAATAATTTAGTGCTATACACAGTTCTTATTATCAATAATGTTTTTTTTTATAATTATATTGTGTTATAAAGTTGTGTTATATATTATATCGTAATGTCATATATTCATGACATATTATGTTCACATTGTATTACCAAATAGATTTTAATCCCGTTATTAATATCTTGAAGGAATATATTTGGTGTATATAAACTCCCTGGGGAGAACGCTGTGTATTTTTACTTAGGCCGTGAACAAATTATAAAAATTTCTGTCTAAGATGGCTCTTTTATCTTTCGTCTGTATGTTTCTTTTTACAAATCTAATCCCTCATTTTAATTTTACAAATGAAAATATAGCTCTGGAAAAATCTAAGAGAGACAAGGACACCACAATTTAAACGATCATCATTATTCTTAAACCTAATCACCCTTAAGTAGGGCCAGCGTTTGAATGTGAGCAATTACGATACACTGGAAATGTTGTATTGGGAGAGACCCAGCTTAATATTTCACAAATATTTACTGGTTTTTTTTCTTGGTGGTTGTGTAAGAAGTTTTCCACAAGTTCCACGGAAAGTATATATTACTGTTCCACCTGAAGCTCCGTTCTATGGGAACCCTCCACGACGTCTACGCTCTGTGAAGACCAAGTCGGGCATGACGTCAGCAAGCATGACGTCTTCGACGGTTACGTCATCGACGGATACGCCGTCTGCGTCCGCGCTTCGTCAGACGGTCGTCTCCATCGCCATCACGCTTTGTCAACACAGGGAGTCCTTACCGTCCAGAAACAGGTCCTCCGGGGATCCTGGATACCTGGAAGAGACAGACTATTTTATAAAACTAGTAGGCTTTTAACAAATCCTGGAGATAATAACAAACATGTACTACTCTTAAGTATTCATTGTCTATTGATAGATAACGATTGCGCATTAAAGCTGTCTACTGTTTTGAAATCAAACTGGATATAGATTAATCGAACCACTCACAGATGAAAATTAAAGATTTTTGTCGAATATGTGGAATTAATATAATGATTAATCGTAATCTATTTTTTGTTACTAACCAACTAACGTAACTATCCAAATAACGAATAAATAGATATTTGTATTAACGATTTTATTTGTATAATTTACCGTTCTGTTACTCAATGGACAAAGGAGTAATAAAACAAGTGACTGGCTGTAAAGTCTACATTGTCATTTTGTTAACGACATTGCCATTACAATTATATTAGAGTTTAAATCTAATAATATTACCAATTTTCTTTTCTAAAATATATCATCCGTCATAATATGACAGGTGGTTTAGATGTAAAAACATCATCTTACAGTTTTGTTTTATTAGTTTAACTCAACAAACACAAGCCTTAAGTACCTCATTGGTTTCATACACATAACGTATACATAAATGATAGTATAGTCCATTGCATTGTATACAAAAAAAATTAGAGTTATAGTGTAGAGTAACGTCATATTGCTTCTTAGTTAAATAATGTGAAAAAAAAATATTAAACACTTATAGATGAAATTGTGATATCCCCTACCTTTTTCCCAAGTCACCGTTATTGTGCATATGGTTTATATGCAGATGGTTGCTACCACGGTTGGCCTTCTTCTTTTTCTTTTGATTCCTCCTGTGCTGACGCCACTTGAGGCAGGCAGTCATTGTTATAAGTAACGTCAGCATTATCAGTGCACCAGCCCCTATCAGCACGTACAATATCGGCACTCCAAACTGGAAGGCGCAGTTAGCCTCTGCTTCGTCGTACCCAGAGGGGCAATGCCAGGCTCCATCACACCACAGCTCAGCACTGATGCAGGCGTTCAGCTCCGGACACCTGAAGAAGATTACGTCAAATAATTTTTGGAGTATTAAAATATACCTTACACGTTTTCCCTTTATTGCCATATAGATCCTTTTCAAATGTTCCCCCATAAGAGCTGGGTTAAAATGTAACTCTAAGTATGACACAATAATTCCATACAGTAAGTGAATATCGAGACTTTTTTTACAAGAGAGGATAATGAGTTGCTGAAAAAATGTGTCCCGGTATATGGCTTATAATTAGCAATTACTGTTATGAGATATTTAAAGAACATCTCAAATATTTTAATTTAATTATGCAAAAATGTTTTTATGTAATACAAATAGCAGATTTATCTCCCTAAGTATTTACTATAGCATTGACTATACGTGTGTAGTCAATGCTATAGCCATTTGCTAGCATACGAAACAGATTGTTGTAAATACGTTCGTCTTTAAAAGAAAACTTTACTTACATGCAGAAGGTTTACTAAACAACACTATCTACTAGTTTAAAGCTCCTATTCCATAAAAAAATATGTCGTAAAAATTCAATCAAACCTGTAAGGGCAGTCAAGTGGGTTTGATGAAGTCATGACGAAGCTACTTGTGGACGTTTGCATCGGCCTCTTTGACACTTCCATCCACGTGACTGAATAACTCCCAGGTTCTTTCTCAAGAAACTCAACAACAAAGCTACGAGCGTGAGGAGTAAGAAGCGTAAGCGAAGAACTACGGTTCCACCCATCTGAGAAAACCTAAAATGCAAAAATAGTAAAACTGTAAAAATAACTCTTTGCAGTTTTATTCAACTCTAAAATTTCTGACACGTTTTATTTCAACAAGTCAAATAAATTATTATCTACAAGTAGTCTCATTAATTAAAAAATTTGTACCATGCAGATTTCAATTTTTTAAACCGAGTTTGTGTTAATGAAAACGATCAAGATTTTCTAAAACTGTATGTAAAGCTTGTAAAGGAAGACTGGTTGGAATAAAAATGAAATACATTTGTGAAGTTGGATTTGCCCCTCGGATATAGAATAACTTGCTATAACTTATAGTAGATCTAGTGTGATACATGTATATGTAGTCCAACTTATAAAATAAATAAATATTTACTTTTTATAATATACTTTTTTTAAGTACACAATAAAATTTAGATTGTGTAATGTTATAATCAATATAAAATAATGCATTGTTCTCGCTTAGCTTTAAATTACCTTTATATTTCAGCAATGGTATTTTCAGAATTTTCAAAAAATGCTGTAAACATGAGTAAACTAGTTTAATAGATTTCAACACATAGTTGTAAGCTCTACTACATGCTACAGTTAACTTGTTCTTTAATAAGCAAATTTTACTTCAAGATAGTTTTTGTAAGAAAGAATTGCTTTAAAATAATTTAAAGAGATCCATCCTGCTAAAAAGTGACTGTAACCTACAAAAACATTTACGGAACAAAAAATTCATGAGCTTCCGGCTAGTAGACCAATACTGTACGTAGTAATAATTTTACTATGCCACCTTACTTTACAATAATGAATAAGGCTGGTCCGTTTTTCTCTGGTATATTTAAGAACAGTTTGTCGTCATAATATTTTAGTTTCAATGTGCACATAAATATTGTAAATAACATATTATAAATAACATTTCAAAAGCAATGTTTGCAACAAGTTTACCTCAACGACCCGCAGCCTGTTGACGCCCGAATCACTTGTAGGGCAGACCACTCTGGCCTCACGAGCACCGACACCAGCGTACACTAGGATGCGATTGGCAGTGTCGCACTGAAAAGACTCTTTTTTCCACCTTGAAAACAAATAACACAATAGATTAATAATTAAATACATTCACTTATAGTGAAAATAATAAAGGGGTTTAAAGTTACATATTCATTATAATATTTGTTTGAAAGTATTTGATTAAATTCATATAATAAAGCACAGTTACTATTCGGAGGAGTCGTTATAAGAAATATTTCTTTCACTTTAGAATGGACATACATTTACAATTCTACCTAATTATTTAGATAATAACATTCCAAACACTTGGTAAAAATTTGAATCATGTAGAATAAACCGTTTTGAAGATATATCAAATTTAGTAGTTAAAAATGTTAAAAACTGATTAGCGGGAATCGCAGCTAAAAGTTACACTTGGTAGCGTAACCATGGTGATACTTATTGTTGAGTTATGGAAATTTTTTTGTTTATGCAAGCATTTTGTTATTATTTATTATATTATTATGTAGTTATTACTTAATTAATATATTATTAATAATAATAATAATAATTATTATTATTATTATTATTATTATTATTATTATTATTATTATTATTATTATTATTATTAATACTGAAATAAGTCAATGAAAAATTTTTCTTATTTTTAGCATTATAAATAATAAATAATAGACAAATATAAAAAATAACTTTTTTGAAAAAAAAAATTATTATTTCACTGCCATATCCCCATGACATCAGCGAAAACCAGTAACTAGGTTCACTTCTACAAGGAAAGTAATTCAGTGTGTTTTTTCGTAACATGCTAATAGCGTATATGAAATAAAGAAACATATTACATACGATTACCATATTTGCATAAACGAGCAAAATACAACAGTTTACTTGTTTTTTCATAAGAATAACATGAAGTTTTAAGTGTGTAGTTTTTTTTATCCGTAAATTTTTGGTATACAACAACTCTGCTTCATACAAAGAAACTGCGAGTTTGATGTTTTAAAGGCAAAAGCTACTCGTTTATGAGCTACTAGGCCTAAACCCCGAAAAAGTGACTTGGCGTGAACATTCCGCATCCTGTAGCTACAAAAAGGTTACATTTGGCATGGAAATTCTAAGAATAAATACGTCTTAAAATTCAACATTTAAAAAATCTATTATGAAATACTTCATGAAGTGTTCAACTGTTTTAATTGTCTTAAAATTCTAAATCAATTGTAAAATGTGCTCAATGTAATACAATTTTATTCGCTCTATAAAAATACTAAATTAAAGATGATCGTTTTATGTCATAAAATAGTAAAATAAATTTGAACGGGGTGTGTTTCTTCCCTTTGGGGATATAAAAACGAAAAATTAAAGAGGTCCTGGTTCTAGGCTATTTTACCGAATCATTCATGGCGGGTGCCATGAATGATTCAGTAAAATTTCATTCCATATATGTGAATTTTACAAATATGTAGACGATTCCGAATTTACTTTATAACTATGAGAATTCTTTTTTTTAGACTTCCGATGATCTTAAAAATCCAAAGTGAGATGTCATTCTGATTCACTTAGTTTCTAAAATATATTATTCGAAATCCATAGCAATCTTAACATGTACATAAAATCGTGTAAGTTTATATAAATGGAGTACTAATAACATATTTACCATGGTTTTTTGTATTCATATGCATATCATTATAAATAGCATATTGCAAATAAGATGATATTATTATGAGAATTTAAATAAATATTGACAATGTTTTAATTATAAATTAAACTGTCCTTTAACATTATAACTACATGATTCATCATTAAATTCATTATATGTAGTTTTAAATGGTTAAAGGTGAATTTAAACATTTAACTGAGGCCTATAGATTTTCCTTTAATGGGTAAAACATTATTATTACTTCCGGATTGAGCATTTTTGTTGTATTTTTTTTTAATAAACCCTTTAAAAAAATCCGTTTTATACAAAAACAGTCTGCGTAAAATTGGCAAGGGGTTTACGATAGACAAAGGGTCAAAATCAACATATCTATGGATTCCTTGGGCTAAATTTGATTTTAAAAATCCCTCGATGCAGTAAATTACTTTTTTAATGTAAACAAAAACTACCTACATTAATTTCATTTATTTTTACTCTAAAAACTATTGCATCAATGTAAAATTGCTTCATAAATGCATATCAAACATATAACTAGTGTTGTTCGCCTAGTGTGGTATATCAATGCAAAACCCTTTAATTATACAATTATAAAAAAATACGTACCTTGTAGCAGAAAGTTCATAACCTCGAATCTTAAGATAAAGAAAATTATCTTCGGGTTCTATGAGCCATGGGAAATTCGAGCAGCTGTTTAAATCTAAGTGGTCTTCTGAGACGGTCTCCTCTGTCACTCTGGCAGCACTCACTTCATTGTATTCCACTTTACTGACAGCAGGACTTCTAAGTACAACCTCTCCACTGGAACCTCTAAGTCTTCTCTCCTCTCTGTGTTTTACACAAGCTTCACTCATAGAGTCCGACGGAACACTTACAAACTGGTACTCCCCTTCAAAATGGAAGTCTCCAAAGTCTTGCGTGATATTCATAAATGTCACTGTAAAATTTACTTCAACTATTGATGTCGTAAGCGTGTTTATAGTGATTGGTTCAGACAGCTTGGAGCACATACAATCTCTCTGAAGTTTCACTAAGGGCCAAGGGTATTCAGACACCCACAACTCCGCGACAGCAGGAGACTCAACTCCTTTCTCACATCTCCATCTTCCAGTTCGCGAATCTTCTTCTGTAGAACAAAGTCTTTCACCAAACTTAGCTCTTGTAAAGGTTAATCTTACTCTTTCTCCGGGTCCGGGTTCGAATCTCAATATGCAGCTTAGGTTTTGAGCACCACCTCTCCCGTAGTAAAAAACACTCCTCGGAGACTGAAATTTTCCAGAGGAAAGTGAATTGGGAGACGATAAAAATACACGGTCGCAAGGATTGTCTGAACCCTTAACGTGGCTTCCTTCTAGAGAAGTGTCGACGAATTCGTAGCGTATAAGGAAGTTTAGTGGAAAAAGGACTGAACCCTGCTTCAGAAACTGTTCCAGGGTAAGTTCACTTCCAGAGGACACGTAACTCTCAGCCAAGGAACACGGGCGGGTGAAGCGAGAACTATTACTCAGAAGAGTATGATCACAGAGTCTTGGTACTTCGTCCTTGCAGAACTCTCCCAGGAGACTGACGTTTGTCTGAAAAAATTATCATTATCTAAATCAATAATATGAATATTACTGATTATCAAAACTAAACACCTATTAAATCTACTTGTACAATGCAACTACATTATATGTAACAAACTTAAGATCATACTAAAAATGTATTAATATAGCTACAAATAGTAAAAAAAAATTTCCTTGACATTTATGATTCGAGTTTTTTTGTTTTTTTTTTTATTTAATTTGATTCGTTATTATATCTTTCAGTACCATTCTTTTAATTTAAAGTCATGCTTGCTATTTTCCCACCAATAAATTGGTTTGGAAAACTTTATTTTCATAAAAGAGATACATGAATAGTGAAAGTTACATCCTATGCACTTATATTAACAAAAGAAACGCATTTCCTTTAATCCCAAGACATAAAGTCTAGGCCATTTTAGTTAGAGAAGTTGCCGCTAGGTTGGTCTATCGATCCAGCCGGCTCCACAACTTCTGCTTAACTGTAGTTTTGTCTTGTTCTACAAACTCGAGTGCTTTTGTATCAATTGCTGTTTACTTTACTTCCCTCTCAAATTTATGTTCTCTGAGAGGGTAGGAGAGTTTATAGACTAAGGATATATACGTCAGGTTTATCTGTAACGTTTTACCTCTAATGTTTTTATCGAGTGGTCAGAAACATCTCAACTAAGAGGGTGTTTTACTGTAAAGATGTTAAGACATGATGCAACACACTTGATACAACACTCTTGATGAAGATGGTATTTTAAACCCTTTATGTTTTTAAAATACCCTTGAAATAAAAAAAAGAAGATAAATCTCGTATTGTCTAATCTTCCTATTATCTTTTTATTCTTATATTATATTCTCTATTGTTTCTTTATTTATTTTTTTGACAGTTACATAAAATTGCATAAACTTAACAAAACAAACCAAGTGATAAAGTGTAATTTGTAGAGGAATTATTTATGATTATTGACCTATTAAATATTGTTTTTTTTCACTCAAATTTAAATCATCCATTAACGGATTTTTTAAGACTTAAAAAAAATTAACTCAGAGGATAAGGACTCTCTGTCAATATTAATTAAATAATATTAAGTTGGATATGTTATGTTATTATCTTAAACTAAGGATCCACACAAACACACAAAAAACCTTTTAATAATGCTGATGCATTTTATCATATATAATTTACATAACTAAGCTTTTATTGGAACAAAGTTAACTTCATACACTTTTTAAGCATCTATATTTACAATTATTTTAGTTACGATTCCAATGATCAAGTTGATATCCTTTTATGTTATTAGGGTGGAATCTATTCCTGTCCTAGGTTACCTGTAGTCCTGTAACAGAAGTGATCCTCCCGTCCCATATCCTTAGCCTGGCGTTACAATCGTCCCCAAGTTGGAAGGCGGCAGGGTCGGCGCTGGCTGCATGGTACTTGATAAACGATAACCATACCGTCTCGTGTGTCCGACCCTGGAATTATAAATTTAATAGAAATTAAAACATATCACATTTATCAAAGTTAATATGGAATAAAAGTATTACTCGTTTGTGTGATTGTTTGTACTGGGTTCATTTAGGTAAGGTTGTGGATTGTTTGTTTAGGTATGAAATAAGTAGTATGAGGAAATCGATATATATATATATATATACATTTAATACCCCCGCCACAGCAAACCTGCAGACTAAGCGAATTTCCATTAGTCTGATTGGATTTACACTATAATATCTCCTTAAAAATATACCATTTATTCCCTATTAAAATGACATTGGTTTAACAAGTATTTAGATTTGGTGCAACAGGGGGTAAAAGTGTTTTTTCTTTTAACTTTAATAATTCAGTATAAAATAAATGCATTTTCATAATTTGATCAAAATATGTGCATAAACAAGCAAACTACAACAGTTTACTTATTCTTCATAACAATAACGATAATTTAAATTATTTTTTTTTATTTTCTCCGTAACTATTTGGCGAACAACAACGCCACAATATACTTAATTATTAGATTTTTTAGGTCTAAAAAATGGTTTGAAAATAAATTGAAAATGTTATGTTTTTAGGGTCAAAAATGGGAAAACCACCGTTCCCATATTCTGATCATGCTAGCTGTTCAAATAAATGTAGATTTACACGTTTGGACCATATTTCCTCAAAATTGGATCATTTTTGCTCGTGTTATCGTGCTAACGGACATATATGTATATATATATATCAAAACGAAAAAGAAAAATCGGTCCCGGGTCCAGGTCTTACCATGAGTACTACGGTAATAGCTTATTCCCTATATGGGAAATTCGCTAAAATGTTGTCTTGGTGAAGGCTATTATCTATATGTTACAGGATAGAGATTTAGGAAACGTTATAAATCAAAAGCTATAATTACTTTTTTGTTATTTTCGCAATACATGATATCGTGTAAGAGTGGATAGAAAATGCCCAATAGTGTTTTTACATAGTTTAGTTATTAAAATACATGTATACTAAGGAATAAATATTTGGGTCGTTATTCCTTCGATATTATTATAACAAGTACTTAATTATGGAGATGTACAAGAATGCTCCTATACAGGGTGAGTGAAATGCCGCTTGCATCCCCTTCAATGTTTAGCCGTTTAATATATTTTAAATCAGTTTGAACCAACTCAGGGATATGAGGTTAATAGTAACAAACGTTAATAGTATAGTAGTATCATTGACTATATAACACTACTATAACACTGTAGTGTTATATAGTCAATGGTAGTATCCAAAACATGGCCAATATGATCCGTCCTGATCATATTAAAAATGATCAGCATGTTTATATTTATAAACAAATTAACTTCAACAGTTTTCTTTCTCTCCGTAAAAATAACGTGAGAATTAAAATTTGCAGTTTTTATTTTATTTTATCTGGTACCTTTAATTGTACAGCAAAACTTCAATACAATAAATTAATAGTTTTTAAGCTCAATACGATGGCTGAAATGAAAATTTTCAGTTTTCTTGTTTAACCCTTTGCGGTCTTTTATGGAGTCTGCCTAATGTATTTTCAGGTTTAGGTCATATTGCCCATAACCATTTTTCAGACAAGTATTTTCGACTAAGCTTCCCGTCTGTCCCTCAGATACGTTATTCCCACTCATTGTGCCAACTAGCGATATCTTATATATTTTTATGTATGTGCAGTTGTTGTTGTGTAGGTTGTTGTATGTTTAATTTATTTGTTTATGTGAGTTGAAGTAAATTAATAATTGAATTATGGGTTCTAACCATTATAGGGATTTACTGGACAATGTTTTTGGATTAAATATCAAGTATTTCTTTTATTTGTGTTTGTATTTTTTTAGTTATAGAAACACACATCTTATTTTAAACTTAATAAACTGAAACGTTTATTCTATCTCTAGTTAACAATTTGTAAAAATACAGGTATTACATGTTTAGTTCACTTTGTCAAACTAGTTTACAGAAAAAGCTATACCTACTGAGAACAGCTGTTAAATATGGCATCACCCCTGACGTCAAAACAGTAGTGGCCTCTATAAGTAGACTAGCGTATCTGCGAGTACAACAGGGTAAATTTGATGGAATATCTATTTTGAAATGGACAGTGGGTACTATAAGTGGCTATAAACCATAACGGGTTTTGACAGGAAAATAAAAACAGCTAATTTAGAAGATTTCAAAATGATAGGATATTGCTGTTTTGCAAACTCATTCAGGTTTATTCCGCCCTACAACAACAATTCATTGATCATATCTTTTACCTATGGAAATTTTCAGTTCATTGTACCATGTTACTCAAACCGTCTCTTGTTAACTTAAATAATAGAGCATCATCTGCAAACCTGAAAGTGGTAGCGGCAGGTGGTGTTGGGGGGCAGTGAGTGGCGTGGGTTTTCCAAAACGCCCCATGGAGAGTCAAAACTGGTGAGGAGAAATTCGCAATGGCGACCGTCCCTCACGTACTTATGAGATCGAGCTTCGACAAACAGCACCTAACAGAGTAAATACAAAAGTAGATTATATTAACCATAAGTTATTTTTTTAAAACCTTTTTTTTTTCTTGTATCCACGCCAGTGGCATTTTTGTAATTAAGTCAAACACTTTTAAGGGAAAGTGGTCCAAACCCACTTCACTCTGTATTCGAAAATATTCCTTTTCCATATAGCTGAGATCTTCAAAAATCATCAATTTGCCAAGACACCAAAAACAAATATTGATCAGCTGACTTTTCTTGACATAACATTATTTTCACCAGACAAACAATTCTTTGTCTGATATTAACAAAGTTAGTGTACAACTGAAGTTTTTTAACTTTTTTAATTTGATAAAGTAGTTTTTTTTTTCGGTTGTGATGAAAAGTATCGTTAAATACTCATCACGAAAGTCCCATTTTTGAGCGAGATAGTATTTTAACGATACACGCTTCGATTATATGCAAAGTGTAAAAAAATAAAAACAAACCCATGGGGCGTAGCCCAAGGGAAATATGAAAATTTAATTATATAATATTGCATTGTCTTCCATTTGTGAGCTATGTTTCAAGTTTCAAGTCTCTAGCTCTTTGGGAAGTTAGTATAAAATTGACTGCAAAGTTTGTACCGGACAAGAAATCGAGCTAATAAAAACGTTTTAAAAACTCAAATAAAATGGAATCACGTAATATTGATTGCAGAGAAGTCCTAAAATAATTATAAAATTGTTGTTGGTTCGTGATTCAGCAGCGTGCTTCAGGTACGTCATCTTAATAATCGATGGCTCAAATTAAATCTGGTGTTTTACTTAATGTTCATAGACCTGAACATATAGGTTAATAAAATTAAAACTTGGTGAAATTAATTTTCAAATTGAAGTAAGAATTTGAAAAATAATTTAATTTATGTTATTTGGTCGAGTAAAACAATATATAAATATAATAATGATGCTTGATTGAAAATCCGTGCTTGTATACCTATACTTTAAGAAAAAAATTATAAAAATTGGTCTTGTAGAAAAGCTAAGCGAATTCGGAAAAGTAAAATTAAATGTTAGTCCAATAAGAAATGTACATGGAAGAAGGTGCTTTTGTGCTTAACTTGAAATATATGTCAGATAAATGGATGCTGTAGCTTGATGGAAAATCCGTGCGTGTATACCTTTTATTTAAGACCAACATCATGAAAATCGGTTAGGTAGGAGAGTCGAACCAATTGGGAAAAGAAAAACCAATAATTTTTAATATATAAATTAGTTAGGTATGGGGAAAACTTAAAAAGAATTAATCTAGAAACTGAAATTGATTGTACGATTATCGCTTAACGTTTGCATATCGGACGACCGATCAGACAGAAATGCTGCCAAAGCAGCATGGTAGCCTCAGGCCTTATTAACATATACTGACATGACATACATGGTTTAGACAGGGATCGGCTACACGTATTGCCGAGTATACATGTATTGCAATGTTAGCTTAGGGCATGATCAGCACTCATATGATCATGTCTCAAAACATACTGCTCATGGATATATCTATTAACAGCTTTCTGTCAAAGCCGTGTTAACAGTCTATTGTATGTCCTTGCTATATTGCTTACAAACAAAACATTGCTTTCTTAGTTCCTATTTTTGGCCCTAAACATATTTGCCCAAATATGTTAATGTGGTTGGTGAAATATTTATTTGACGTAATACAAAAGTGGCACTTTCTTTTTTGTATCAAGATTTTGTAGCCATACTTGTGCCATGTTGGTTTAACATAGTCTTTTTACATTTATTTTATAAGTAGTTTATTTTATTTTCAGTGAACTTTAAGAACAAATTGTTAAAATTGTTGCCTACCCCTGTCCTAATTTATTTATTACAACTTTTTTTTCCTAAAAATCTAAAATGAATATAAATTGAAATTTTTTTTAATACGCTTATGGCAAGAAAGCAACATCAACCAAAAATAAAAGTGAAAGGTGGCGTTATGTATTAATGTGTAGATTAACGTCCGCACTAGTGAAAACTACGACTATCCGCAGTGCTATACTGATAATTAGACCAATTTGTAAATTACGCGGCAAAAATGTAGTTCGGATTCCACTATAAACTTTAGGTCTCTTAGTTGCCATATGGGCTAATAATTAACAGTCCTGTCTAAAGAACATGTCGACCTTAGTCAGTAACAAGACCACAAGATCGCGCCACCTATCCTACACTCATTTCCATCCATACTTGTCTAAAAATGCCTACCTTCATAATAGTCACCACTTCAAATAATAAGTATAAGAAAGTATACATCAGGTCATTGCCACAATTTTTGGAATATTTCGGTATTTTAAAGAATTTGAATTAATATTCCAAACAGAGGTATTTGGAGCAGCTCGAGTTGAACTATAACACCCCAGGAAACCCACAACTAGTTATACAACTCAATTTTAGGACTAGAGCTAAGCACTTGAGGCATTACAGTTATGGTCAAGACTCAACTTAGGGTAGTTAACTTTCTCCTATAACGTTATTGGCGTATTATACCTAGGTTTAAGCGAAAATCCAATTTTCGAGTTTAATTAATAGGTTTTATGAAAACACATATTAGGGATAAGGTAAAGGGACATCCCTAATTTATAAATAGAACAAGTGTCATACTACTTACCTAATACAATAGATAACACATCAAAATACAACTTATCTCATGCCATAGATTGAGTAGTTTGTCAATCTCTTGACAACAACGTCCGTCAAATGACGTCTTACTATGCATAAGTCGCTTAAAATTATATTAAACAATTCATCATTTTCTTCTGGAATCACTTTAATTTCCTAGGAATCTCAGTTCAAGTAAAGTCTGGAGGGACTTTAAAAAATCTTAAACATAAAGCAGCATGTCGGGAAACCCCCATATAGTCAAAATAGTCCTCTTTATGAGATGATTAAATGGAAAATGATTTTGAATAAGGTTTAGAAACTAATCCAGTGAATAACATAGCTTATATATACTGATCGTTAATATATTTAGCGTAACATGCTGATGAAAGAAATTTGCCCGTTAACAAAATTTAGGAAGTTTAAGGGAAAGGTTTCCTGGGTTCCCTTACCACTTTTTAACCAAAAGTCAGCTGATCACTTGTCAGGTTTTGTTTTAAAGTTAGGGTGAAATGCAGGAGACGGAATCGCGTCTCCTTAAACCACCTAAGTTTTGTTTTGATTTATGAAAAGAACACAATTTTTCAAAATCAATTAAACGATTCAGCAGTTTAATTTTGGAATAAATTAGCCTTCACTTAGTATCAAACTTTTTTTGCCAAAGACTTATATTATGGTTAAATTTACCGCAGATTTGATCTTCTTGTGCATTCGTCTGATGAAATACAAAACTTAGGAATATTAAAGAATCTTTTGGATTTACCTTTCATTATTTCGAAGGTTTCTAAGTTATTGACGAAAGATTTTAAACGCTTAAGTAACACACGTTTACAATAAAGAGATTAATTATGTTTATGAGATATTATTAGTTAGCTTCGTCTAATACTCAATAGGCTTATGACCACCTCCCCTTTAACAAATTAATATCAATGATTTAGCGAATATAAAACAACCATGATGACACGTAAGCCGTACCTGAACTTCCAGCTCGAATCCAGGTAGATAGCTGAGAGGTACAGGGTGGAAGGGGTTGTCGTATGGGGAGGTGTGGAACTCCAGCAGCATGTTAGGACCGCTGCTGACAATGTCTGGAACTACATCACCTCCACACAGTCTGACCAAGACTGGGTCTAGAGTTGATGGTCCATCGTATACTGTGAGATAGTCCTGGACTACGTTACACTGGTCCCATACCCTGCGTGCGATTGAAGTAATGAAATAAAGTAATTATGTATTGGAAAAACTAAAGGCTATGCATTATGAAAAAAAAACTGCAAAAAAAACTTAGAAAATCTTCAAAATGAATAAACGATTTCAACTGTAAGGAATTATTTAAGTTGTGATAAAATTTTTATGTGCATTTTAAATTATTTCATTAGTAAAGAAAATAAAACAATTGACTAACCAGTACGATTCATTTGCATTGGTACCTATGCAGTTTTTTTTTTACATTTTAGTCAATCTTTCTTCTTTATAGTTAAGCTTATTTATGGTTTTTGTGCATTTATCCAGTAAAAATAATTACATCAATTAATACAATTTGAATTTGTTAATAGGATCTTTCATACACTCCGTGTAACATGTTTTTTACAGTTTCAACTCGTAATTCACAGAACCGAAAATTCAAGTATTGCAAATAGTATTGAAAACCTGTAGACTAGGGGAATTCAAGTTTGCCTGATTGGATTTTAGATAAACAATTTCAATAACAAGTTGAGTGCCATGGTTTCCTGTTATGGGATAAGGGAAACTTTTTTTATTTTATTTTACTGGTATGTGATAAAATAAACTAATTTGACAAACTTAAACAAAATTTATCGAAAAACTATCAAAATATTACAGTGTTTTTCTCCATAAGAATAGCTTGAGAATTTGAAATTTACCTTTTTTATTTTCCTCCGTAACCTTTAATTGTATTACAACAACGATACAATTTCGAAAGTTTGTAGAAAGCTATACACGGTGGCTATAATGGAAATCAGGCTATTCCATGTGTCAAAGGTAAAAAAATAAAAATAAACTCAAGAAAAGTACTTTAAGCCCCAATAACACTCTGTTGCTATTAACAAGTGATCATGCTGTTTCGTGAACTTATTCAAGGTCATCTATAAGTTCTACATTGATGCCAAACCAAAATCGGTAAAAAATTATTCGAGTTGTCATACTCATGGACACATTTACAAACACATACTTTTATACATATGAATTTACATGCATAAACATGTAAATGATTAATGTTTTTTTTTGGCCAAAAGGGACGTTACAATGAAAAAGTAAATCGATCCTGAGTAAAGTCTTTCCGTCCCGCCTATAAGTTATAGCCTTCTTTCCTTTAAGGATTTTTTTTTGTTTAAAGCGAAGAAAACCAAAATTTTAAATCTTTATAAAACATGTTGCATTTTAACTTTATTATTATAAATATTTTAAAGTAACGATGGCCTACTAGAGTTAAATAAGATAACAGATTAGCAAACATTATTTCCTGTAGAATATCTTAATATTTGGACAGCTATTAGTTTCCACAAAAAAAAAATATATAAAACTTTGTATTATTTAAATTTTGCATATATGTAAGTAGTAATTATAGTATTTCTGCACCTAACATATAATGTTAAACTTACATTGTTTACATGAAATAAACAATTAATTAATTGTTCTATATCGTTTACTATGAAGTAGGTCTCTTATTTATAATCACAGCTCTGGTGGTGACATGCAATTACACGTTTGTTAGGCATCTCGTGTAATAATTAACGTCACATGAGTTGATTGCAATAAACAACTCATGATCTAAGTAATTAGTTCTGTCACTGTAACTCTAACGCACAATTGACGTTTCAATACTTGCAACGTTCAACTGTATCTAATCATTAGGTGAAAAGCGTAATCAGAGCTATACAGGATATGACCACTTTACCTAATCATTTAGATCCAAACCTATTCCATACTCACGTAATATAGTGAGTTTAGAACAACTTGTATTCCATAAGTCGTATGCTTTCTTATTCCAATTTTTATGTCACTATGTTTGTACAATTTAAACTAAACAATGAGCTATAACATGTTGGTTTTAAAATTATAGTACGTACAAGTAGTACTTACAGACCACTCAAAACACAAAACATCTCACAAATCAAGCTGTAAGAAATCTTTAAAAAAATACAAAATGTTTTCCCAAGAACATAGTTGAGTAATTTTCAACATAAAAACACCGTATAACATGTTTCATACTTTTGTTTGACACAGATACACCTATACATTATAATGCCTGATAAATTTGTAATTATAAAACATTGGTCTTCTAAATGTCTATAAAATAAACAGAAAATAGTATCGAATGCCAAAACACATTACCTAAGAACCCTCTGGCTCCTGTCGTATTTCACTATTTGGTCCTTGATATGTATCTTGTGGCTGTTTCTTTGTCGAACCACCAACAAAACATGTTTACCTCTTGGAGCTGTTCTCTGCTCCACCCTGTAAACATTGAACGTAAAACATTTTCAATATTGGCCTCCAATAGTAAAGTTAAATTGTGTCACGTTTTATTCTCAAACAATTTATAGTATTTTTTGTCGTCTGAGTGCTTCATATTAAGTTTGGATAAAAAAATTAAACCAATGTTCCACATAATATTGGAACAGGATCTGTTTCATTCCAAACTTTAAAGCTTCACGTTTGATGTCAGAGGTCATTGGTTTTATGAACAAATAGACGAGGGTTTAAAAAATACAAATCATCACAAATGTAGGCTTTGTGATATTATTACTAAATAGCTTAACTTTAACTTTATATTTGGCATTGGAAGAATAATTCAATGTAATAAACATAGCTCAATCTTTTAACAATGCATTTTAAGTGAAGTATAAAATAATCTAATAATAAATATTATTTATAAACATTTACAGACTATCGTGTATGTATAATGCTAGGCACCTAAAGAATGTAAAAAAACCAGGTGGGCAAAGTATTTAAAATAAATAGATGTGTAAAAAAAAAACAATCGTAAATATAAAATATGTTCTGTATAGTTGGGTTAGGCTAAATATAGTTTAGATTAGATTAGTTTAAAAATGCAAGTCTTTAGGTTGGACTAGATTAGTCAATGCAGAAAAAAAATTTACTGTGTTTATTTTATCTGTTACCTTTAGTATGAATGGTCATCCAAAAGAATATGTGGGTAAAATATATTTTACGCATTATTCCATACTGAGTCATTTTAAGCGGTGTAGAAATTAGGTTTTGGAAATCTGAGACAATCCATAGAATACGCGTTTTTATAATTTGCCACTAACATAATACATTTTTAATTCATAGGCCTGACATATTATTGTATTACATGTAAGGGAAGTTAATCTACCAACTGTGGTCATCGTCCAACATTTTAGAGGCAGAGGAAAATTCTGATAACAAATTCTCTTTACTACCGTTCAGTGTCCTAACACGTCCATGAATTATGTCAGTGTATAAACAGAGGACTGTTTGTCCAAACGGAGTTGAAATTCATTACACGACAGCAAGAGCATTTATTTATCACACCAGTGCTCGTTACATATTCAACCAAGCCATGAAAAAACGCCGCTAGTAAATCCAAAAAACTAAATACGTTCCAAAAGAGTTGTAAAAATAAACAAATTTTGGTCCCATTGTATGGTGAATTTTTCCTGTTGTATGTTCTTTGTTGGTAGTGGATTTTTAGCAATGGTAAGATTATGTTTTAAGAGGTAATAAATAGTAATGGGGTACATTTTGGATATTTTTTATCGCAATTTGGTAGAAAGACTTGCACTCGCGGCAACATGCCTTGTAGATGTGAAAAATGTAAATAACTTATTAATTGATTGATTGATGCTTCCTCCAACACAATTATATTAATTAAAAGTTCTACTGTAAAAATTGGAAGATCGATAATATATGTAAACATTTTTTTCAAATGCAATCAATTACAAACAGTGACACTGGTCATTCCAATCGAGAGATGTTTACGAGTCTCTGATATCACCTGTTATGGCTAATGTGACGGTTCTAAATAAATCGCTATTGTATTATAATACACATATACACACATATTTACCATCCTTTTAACTAACAAGTGAATATGTAAATACGCCTAATATTGTTGAAATATTTGTTCATTTATTACATTTCTTTGCCAATTGTATTTGCCCAACCTATTCATACTAATTATTGTTTTATCAGGTGTATTTCTTGTTATAATTACTATGGCTTTTACCTAAGCTTTCTCTGGGCTTTAGGACTAATCTTGTTACGTAGAGTAACACGTCTTATAACACTTAAAACATACAGGGTGAGTTTTAATTCCCCCCCCCAACTTTTTTCTACATTTTTTCAAATATCAATCCCAGATCACTTCCAAACATTGTTGGGTAGTAAGTACTTCATTTTGACAAGGTGGTCATTTCCGGCCGCCATCTTGGATCGCCATATTGGATGCAAAATTTTTTTTCCAAATGTAAAGGTGGGGTTGTGACCCATTATTTCGAACTAGATTTTTACCCTGATTACAATGCTGCAAACTGTTTTTAAAAATCTTGATTCGTTCTAAAGTTATGAGGGCTTTTTAAAACTTTACTTTTAGCACATTTTAACATTGTGCATTTAAAATCTAAGACCATAATCTCAAAATAGTGCTAGATAAAGATAAGTATACACTACCAGTATTTGTTGACCTATTTTCACTTGGTTATGACTGATGTATTTTTTTCGGCCGCCATCTTGGATCCGCCGTTTTGAAATGTGATAAATTATTTTAAATATGAAGGGTGTGTTGTGACCCATCATTTCTAACTAATTTTTTAAGCTAAACTCAATGCCGCAATTCATTTTTTGTTATCAAGTTTTATTTATGAAATATTGCAATTTTTTTGTAAAAAATGTCAATATTTAAAAATTAAAAAATGAAAATGAAAAACGGATCATGGAATTAAGTTCAGCTTAAAAAAGTAGTTAGAAATGATGGGTCACAACACCCTCTTCATATTTAAAATAATTTATCACATTTCAAAATGGCGGATCCAAGATGGCGGCCGAAAAAAATACATCAGTCATAACCAAGTGAAAATAGGTCGACAATTACTGGTAGTGTATACTTATCTTTATCTAGCACTATTTTGAGATTATGGGTCTTAGTTTGTAAATGCACAATGTTAAAATGTGCTAAAAATAAAGTTTTAAAAAGCCCTCATAACTTTAGAACGAATCAAGATTTTTAAAAAAGTTTGCAGCATTGTAATCAGGGTAAAAATCTAGTTCGAAATAATGGGTCACAACCCCACCTTTACATTTGAAAAAAATTTTGCATCCAATATGGCGGATCCAAGATGGCGGCCGGAAATGACCACCTTGTCAAAATGAAGTACTTACTACCCAACAATGTTTGGAAGTGGTCTGGGATTGATATTTGAAAAAATGTAGAAAAAAGTTGGGGGGGGGACAATTAAAACTCACCCTGTATATTTACGCTTATACTGTTATTCACAAGATGGTAAGTATACATAGAAGATAGTAAGTAGTGACCGATTTTGTTTGGACACTCCCATCATCACCAGACCCAATAGGAGAATGATTCAACTTGTATGTATATTTACCGTCTTGTGAGTAACAGTATAAACGTAAATATACGTTTCAAGTGTTACAAGACATTTCTTTTATTTACTTTTCGTAAATGTAATAACACGTACAATGCTGATGAAAAAGCTATTTAATATTGTTGTTACATCTTGTTGTGCATAAGACACTTTTAAGAACACATTTAATCATAGTGCTAACTTTGCCTGGCTTATTTAATGCTATTTCTCCAAGGAATGTAGGACAGCAACAAGGCCTCTTCAGCTTACTCAGTTGGAGCAATTCTATTCTCCTCCTACTAGGCTATGTACATCAAGCCTGCCACAGCTTAAGAAGGTCTACACCCGTACGCATCCAAGTATTTTTGGTTCCCCCCTTTTTCTCTTTATCTTTGCGTATTCTACTCCAGGCCTTTTCATTCTAGCCTGCTCTCTCCCTTCTTCAGTGTGTGGACATCAATTTATGCTTTAATCATTTCATTTTATTCCTGAGTGGAATTTATTTGGTCCAAGCCCATAATACTTCGTTGGACATTAATACAGGTTTGCTGATAAGGACCTGGATGGTTTAGTAATTTATACTAGACTCGTACTGGTCTTAAATTATATCAGTGACTTCTTGGTGTCACTAGGATAATAGACATATATGATCTGCAAAACCAAGTAGTTCAAACGACCATTAATGCCCTACTGCAGTCCTATTATTCTTCCGTATCCCACTATTTTCAAAATATGGTCCATTGTGATCAAGAAAAGGAGGGGTAAAAGCAAGAATCCTTGTCTTACACCAGTCTTTATTAAACACGGCGGCGAGAGCTGTCCCGTATCTTACAAAACACATTGAAAATTCCTTTTTCATAATATTTAAGGTTTTTTTCTTGTATACCAATCTCCCGGGTGAATTTACAACATTACACTTCTGTCAACACCATCACATGTCAAATGTTGAAACTGTTTGAGTCTTTCAAACTCAATGAACGTGGTATACACTGAAGGCTGAAGTTGTAGTGACTGCTTGATGATGATTCTTAATGTATTAATTTGGCCAACAGAAGACCTGTTTTTTCAAACTCTAGCCAGCTATTTCCTTTTATCATTAGCAATTTGCTATTGAAAAACCAACAAAAACAAGAGCACAACGATACCTGTAATAGCAGGTGACATTTCTTGGGTAGACCCCGGGATAGTTTGGACTCTGGATCCTGCATGGTCTCCTGTCGCACCCCTCCAACACCCGGTCACAGTACGTCCCAGGCAGGAGCTCCCCACGGTAGCTGACTGCGGTACTGTTGCCATAGCGAAGGTGGGCCTCTGAGCGTCGCAGAAACTTGTAAGCTAACTTGAAGTCAAAGTTGTATCCTATACCCTGTGTGAAACAAATGATTAAGTTTGTACATTTTAAGTGGTTTTTGGTTAAAACAATAGTGATTTATCATAAAATGTAATGAAATGAGGTAGAAAACCCAAAAACTTTCACTGTAAATGGATATGTTTATTTGAGTGCTGTTAATCGTATCACAATGTATAAAACAGTGCCATTACATAAAGTTAGGGGAAGGATACAGGGTATATTTCCAAGATATAACTTAAACAAAATTAGGTTGCAAAAGCAGCTTAACACAACCAAGGTGATGAAAAAAAAGTGTTTTTCAACTGCCTTTAAGGCCATCATATAGATTAAACTACAAGTTAAGGTTTTAAGGTGGAAAACCATACACTTAGGCTACTGATAATAAAATTGCCTGCAAATATCTAAAGACAATATTTAAAGGGATGATTTTTTTAATATTTAACCCTTAATTATAAGATAAATGTCTATGTCTAAGCAGATGCGTATAAAAGCTTAACCCTACTTAGCGTAGGAAGTTTTTTAGTGTGATACACGTAATGACGTTATTTTTAGAAAACAAATAAATTTTGCTAAGTTTACTACAATGAACCAAGATTTCTTGTACTATTGATTTTTTTAATTTTTAACATCATTAACAATATCTTTCAATAATGGGCTTTAATTTGCATGCAAGCTTGGGCATCCTAAGCAGTCATGTCATGTTGTTTGATCTAGACCACACTCACCTGTTCACTGAGCTTGTCTAGTTGGAGTGTCAGGTTCAATGACCTTCCTTCACTGTAGTACACTGTATACCCCCATGCACTGCCACACCACTGGCCCTCAGTGTCCGGCCTCTCCGTCTCTCTTATAGACATATGACCGTCCGGACAACCCTCAGAGGTAAAAGAGACGAACTTGCCCACGGTAAACGTGTCGAAAGTCAGCTGTGAGCAACGTTTACGGTTGATTAGAAAATAGGTCGAGAGGAAAAAATATATTGATCTTAAATGTAAATAGGTTATTAGGTGTTTTTTTTTTACGAAAATCTATACAAAAATTTAGATTTAAAACAAAATAAACAATGCCATATTTCACTTTGCAAACTAAATAATACATAACTAAATAATTATTCATTTTAACTTTTAACCTTATTCTGATGTGTATTATAACAATATTAAACGCTGAAACAACAGCTTTGAATTAGGGGTTTTAAGATTGTTAAAAACATGAACAAGAAGTAATATTAAAGAACTAGTAAATACTTATAATGTTTAATAACGTAAGTGAATTCAATAGTATCATACATTTGTCTTTTGAAAGAAACTAATTCACTTCGAAAACTGTCGTTAATTCTAGTCCTGATTCAAAAATTAATTTTGATGAGATATCAATACCTGCACCAAATCTCCAAACTCTCCACTGCCGGCGGTAAAGTTGAGGTGGCAAAGAAAGGGCAGTCTATCTTCCCTCGGTCTCCTGATCTCCAGCTCGTACGTTCTCCCAACGTCCCCGTAGAACGTCCGGTTACACGCTATACAAGTATAATAAGAGCATACAATCAAAAGTTTTAACAAACATCTCAGTATAATTTAAGTTCCTATAATCGGTGCCACCCAAGAGAAAATAATGATCCCGAATTACTGTTTTTGTGCATTGAGCCTAGTTATTTTTTACTTGGGCCTAAATGTCTAATGTGCATTTTCTAACACTAAAGAGGTAACTTCATGGAACTATTAGCTCCACAGCTCCACATATACATGGAAATTCATGGAATTATTTTCCTAGTTTATTACACAGCAGCGTACGTATGAATGAAATAAACAAATATTACTAGCATTTTATAACCAGTGTTAACTTGACTATGGATTAAGTAAAAGTATGGACAAACCAACGAATCAAGGTAAAACAGTTATCCATAATAAATTACAATGTGATCTGGTCAATTAGTTTGGCTGAGTAATCAGGTTATCTTTTATATTACGACACTAATTATATTATTTGTTAGAGACTTAGACCTAATTTCTCTGAAATATTTCATTCTTTGAGTAAGTTGACAATTTTTATTTCATTTTGATCTTGTTTCCCTTTTTTCGTAGATAATGTTCCTTATAAAGCTGTGTATTTTTATTCTAATTTCCATGCTAAGCCGTTTACAGCAATGAATGTCAATATAAAAAAGAAAACTAATTCCTCCTTAATATGTAGTGTCCAAAATTAGGTTTATAGACGGATTGTCTTGTTCATAATTGACTGCATTACTTAGTAATACCATGATACAATCGTCGAGTCTTTCTTGCGCAGTTAAAAAAAGACACAGCAAACATACAGTATATGTTATAAAGTGTGTTTATTATTTACACCACAATGTATTTATTAGGATTAATAAATATAATTCAAGGGGTTAATATAAAAGGGTTCATTGTTGTATATTTATGTATTCTGCATAAAAAAAGTATTGAAAGATAATTTAAAAAGTGGTATTTTAAATGCTTTGCGTACTGCTAAGTCATTACGCCCTTAAGGGAGTATCAGGTGTTACTTACGTGAGCAGTATCTCGGCTCGTCACTCTTGTCTGCGCAGTCATCCACACCGTCACAGTAACGGTCCAGAGACACACACTGGCCTGTGTCACAGAAGAACTCTGACACTCTACAGGTCGGTGGGGAGGCCAGACACGTGGCTAGCCACACTACCAGCACTTGCAGCCGCCACTGGGACCAGCTCATGCTACCACCTGCAACAGCATACAGTTATTATTGCTAACGGCCCAGAGACACACACTGGCCTGTGTCACAGAAGAACTCTGACACTCTACAGGTCGGTGGGGAGGCCAGACACGTGGCTAGCCACACTACCAGCACTTGCAGCCGCCACTGGGACCAGCTCATGCTACCACCTGCAACAGCATACAGTTATTATTGCTAACGGCCCAGAGACACACACTGCCCTGTGTCACAGAAGAACTCTGACACTCTACAGGTTGGTGGGGAGGCCAGACACGTGGCTAGCCACACTACCAGCACTTGCAGCCGCCACTGGGACCAGCTCATGCTACCACCTGCAACAGCATACAGTTATTATTGCTAACGGTCCAGAGACACACACTGCCCTGTGTCACAGAAGAACTCTGACACTCTACAGGTCGGTGGGGAGGCCAGACACGTGGCTAGCCACACTACCAGCACTTGCAGCCGCCACTGGGACCAGCTCATGCTACCACCTGCAACAGCATACAGTTATTATTGCTAACGGTCCAGAGACACACACTGCCCTGTGTCACAGAAGAACTCTGACACTCTACAGGTCGGTGGGGAGGCCAGACACGTGGCTAGCCACACTACCAGCACTTGCAGCCGCCACTGGGACCAGCTCATGCTACCACCTGCAACAGCATACAGTTATTATTGCTAACGGTCCAGAGACACACACTGCCCTGTGTCACAGAAGAACTCTGACACTCTACAGGTTGGTGGGGAGGCCAGACACGTGGCTAGCCACACTACCAGCACTTGCAGCCGCCACTGGGACCAGCTCATGCTACCACCTGCAACAGCATACAGTTATTATTGCTAACGGCCCAGAGACACACACTGCCCTGTGTCACAGAAGAACTCTGACACTCTACAGGTTGGTGGGGAGGCCAGACACGTGGCTAGCCACACTACCAGCACTTGCAGCCGCCACTGGGACCAGCTCATGCTACCACCTGCAACAGCATACAGTTATTATTGCTAACGGTCCAGAGACACACACTGCCCTGTGTCACAGAAGAACTCTGACACTCTACAGGTTGGTGGGGAGGCCAGACACGTGGCTAGCCACACTACCAGCACTTGCAGCCGCCACTGGGACCAGCTCATGCTACCACCTGCAACAGCATACAGTTATTATTGCTAACGGTCCAGAGACACACACTGCCCTGTGTCACAGAAGAACTCTGACACTCTACAGGTTGGTGGGGAGGCCAGACACGTGGCTAGCCACACTACCAGCACTTGCAGCCGCCACTGGGACCAGCTCATGCTACCACCTGCAACATCATACAGTTATTATTGCTAACGGCCCAGAGACACACACTGCCCTGTGTCACAGAAGAACTCTGACACTCTACAGGTTGGTGGGGAGGCCAGACACGTGGCTAGCCACACTACCAGCACTTGCAGCCGCCACTGGGACCAGTTCATGCTACTATTTGCAACAGCATACAGTTATTATTGTTTCCCTCATCTCTTCGTTTAGTATTAATATTTACAAATAAAGGAGACCATGTTCCTCGAATCAGCGATTTCCAATTCGTTGAGTGTGTAGCGCTGTAAAATAAATATTAATGAAATAATGGATGTATGATTATGTTATTTTCAATATACCCTCCAAAACAATAACTATCCAGAACAACGGAAAATATTAAACGTCAGAAAATAACTTTAAACAATCTACCAGTGATTGTCAATGGAGGTTTAATTCCACTAACTATACTTATTTATCTGGATCATCCAAATTACTTACTTTAATCTAAATTAAAATTCTGTCCTATACAAAGATAGAAGTTATTTGTTTTAAACAGATATTTAAAGTGTATAAAATAATGGTCAATGTTAAATTTGAAAATAGCCAGATAAATTATCATCCTAGTTAATATTGAAAATTTATTTGATGCAGCACTTATATTATGCAAATCACTTAAAAAGTGTGTAGAGTGAAATACATTAGTGGTTTAGTTAGAAAATAATAATATTGCTTAAACGTGTATTAGGCAAATAATGAACCTAAACCAAAATCTGTTAACATCTGATATTACAGTTTAATGATATGTTAAGCCTTTTACTTTTGGAACCATAAAAACTGTGTACATACATATTATAAATATTATATTTTGTTCCCGATTAAAACAGAAATTTGACCATAATCAAAAATTACGTAAGACACCCACTGTTATTTATATATTTTTATCATTGTGTTTTATTTTTATCACTTTGATACTATTTTTGTCATACCGATTCTGAAATATGTTTAATATTGTCACTGGTAAATACCAAAACACGTTATTAGATTGGGTTAGGAGTGTTTAAGGTGTATGGTCACCAATATACGTTATAAACAGAATAATTAAACATACATAATTGTTTGTGGTGGAAAACGGACACTACCAATATTTTATTTTATTGTCACAGATTGCTGTTTTGAAAATGCATACAAATACACTATGGTTTGTTGTTTAGATCACATTATTACTGAACCCTAAAATTTAACCAAAGGGTAATATATAAGGGGTTTTATTCATTGTGTCTTTAAACGAAAAGGACTGTGAACTAAAAGCTAGATTACCATAGTTTTTATAGAAACATTTACAATAAATTTGCAAAAATGCAAGAGGCGCAACACGATACCCAACCTTGACAATAAGAATATAAAACAACGACGGTAGAGTTCGTGAATCTTGGCCTGATGAATAATTCAGTGGTAATCTATCTCACCACCATCTGTAGACGCTTAATTGCTATTTCCAATGAAGGATTTAAGGCAGGATTTCAACTTTACGGCTTTTAAATAAATCTGACAGATAGATAAATGTGACGACCGTAGAAAAATTATTTTTTATACATTTTCTATTTTCTTTCTTAGGATATAATAACCTTTTTATGTATTATATCATTTCTTTATATAAATATTTTCTCTTATTATCTTGATACATTTCAATTATTAAATACATCGTGTATAAGTGTTTAAAAAATTTTTATTTTTGCCTTAAACTAAGATTTTCTCATAATACTAGCGATACAAAATTGTTGCATGCAATACATAAAAAAAACCCGTTACACACTTGTATTACACACACCATTTCGTATAAATAAGTTTGTTTTATTAGTTTAATAATTTTAGTTTATAATGTAAATAAAACGTTGTAATGGCTTTTAGAGAGTTAAAATTAAGTGATAGATGATGCTTTCAAATTTGGAATAATAGTTGATTCATCTCAAATCACTAACACGCATATGAAATTGTCTGAGTTAAGCATTATATGCAATTTTCTTGTACTATTTAAAAAAAAAAAAATGTTCACTATTCTGTATTTAAACCAAACTACAACATAAACAACTAAAAAGAAACCCGTTATCCCACCAAGTGCCAATTTTCACCTAGGTACCTTTGCTGGGTGATTTTTTTTTTCGGCATATTGGTATAGTATTAATTTGTTTTATTTATAACTGCAAATGTAAATCATATTCTTTTGAACCACTTTTGTGCGCTTTCTCATCTAACTTTTAAGAAAAAATGGCTAGCGATGTACATACTACATCCTGTAGCTTCTAAATGAGCAAGTTTGGACAGGAAATGCCATGAAGTCATTAAACTGTATCCATCTTCTTACAAGCTCATAAAATACAAAGCGTTCCAATTTTAAAACTAGCTTTAACTTTAGTAAATTGTGGACATTTATTTACCAATAAAATCAATATTTGTAACATATTTTATAATCTGTTTATAATGTAGATACAATTTTAAGCCTTATTTATTATTTGCATTTCCTCACAAAACTTCCTCGTAGAGAAAACAACTACAAGAATAAACACGTTTAAATCGCACATTCTAAAACAATCATAACATATGGGTTGTTCCATAAGAAATATTGAAGTTGTCGAACATATTGGAAAATAGCAAACATTATGTTTAACATTTTAAGAAAAACCACCTGAAAAAAAAACGTCTTAAAGATAATGGGGATTGCCCCAAAAGAAGTTAACTTACTGTTTTTTCTCATAATAACAAAGTTAGCTTTTGTTTCACTTTAGGTGAGACAGCCTGTATATCAACCTTATATCATTGGCTATTGGATACAGAAGTTGTACTAATAGTCAAAGCTTATATCTACCTTTTAAGTAACAAAATAATCACTATTCAGCATAATATCATTATATTTTAATTTAGAAATACGCGTGGACACGTTCATCATCTCGTTTACGATTCTGATTAAAAGGTTTCCCTCCTGTATTTTCCCATAAAAATATTAAATCTAGCTTGTTTTGTGTATCAGACAAAACTTAAATAATAAATATATGTATAAAAATTTACAACATCAAAGTATTTCTTTAAAATATTCATAGAATACGCATCAGAAACTACTGTACAATGCAGGCAAATATTCACGTCAAGTATGGAGATATTCAGGCAATATTGCCATGATGTGTTATTCATGAGTTAGTACCGTCATGGCGCTAGATTACCTGTCATTCCCCTTTTATAATGAGGGCTATAGCTCCAATCTGACGCCACTGCTGAGTCTCTAATATATTATAAAAAAGGACAATTACTCTAGACAACATTCAAGCTACACAAGAATAACAAAATATAAGTCATTAAAAAGTTTAACTTATATTTAAATAGTAGTTATTGATTAAACACTTTATAGTAGTATATGTATTGTTCACTTAATTGTGGATTTAATTTAGTAAGAATAACAAATGTAGGCAGTGCATGTGATCATTATGGTAATTGTATTTTCTAAACACTTAAAAAGTTATCTTTTCAAAACTCGCAATATTTTACAAACTTTTTTTCTAAGCTTGCAAAGTTTTTGTGAAACTTGTAAAGAGAATTGTAGTCTGGAGAAAAGAAGAATTTTTTATACCTACTCATTTTTTCTAATGAACCCGATCGGTGCAAAATAAGCTGTTTCATATTCTCATGAATTTTATAGAAAAATATTAAAACCTATACATTTTAATGTGCATCTTTTAATGAGGTCACAATATTTACGTTGTCATAAAATCTTAAATATGATCATAATTTACTATTTCT